GTCTTTTATGGAAATGGTCCGATCGTCCCCCAAACTTCCAGCCCTCAACAGCTCTACGTCAATTATGGGGTTTCTTCAAATGCTCGCCATGAAACACGGTTTTCTCATAACTTCAGTGAAAATTTTCCAAACGGCCCAAAACTTCACAGGTTTGGTAACGATGTAGCCATCAGCGCATCTAAGCGTATTATGGGGTGTCATCAAATGCCGTTGCCATGGCGACAGATCATTCACCATCAAGTTAGTTCAAAAGTTTGCAGTTCAAATATTCTGCTGCTTTTCCAAGCCTTTTTACTTTTTTTTCTTCACTCATCACACATTCAAGCCCCCAGTGTTCATGTATCATTTCAATCTAAATTCTTCACTTTCTTCTTACACATTACATTTCAGCATAGCAGTTTAGCGTCAGCTTTTCAGCATAAAGCATTCCCACTAGCAATTTCTTCAGGAATTGCATTCTCTAGTTTGATTCTGAAATTGTATATATTTATATAAATATATGTGTGTGTATATGTCCGCATCTGTAGCCTGTTATTGTCTCATTATACCGCACTGTGAATGAATTAAAAGTAAATATATAAGTTGTCATGAACACAGTTCTGTCCATCGGACAGAGTGCTGCTGTGCCTCCTGTCATCATTAATGGACGTCTCTTTAAAATGACCGCTCAGAGGAGAGGAGTTCTCATTTCTCTAACCGCCTGCTGCTTCCACTCCTCTCTCCTCGGTTCCCCTCCTCGACTCCTCCGCTCGCATCTCCTGTGGGCGGCACTAAGACACGAGGATAGGAGTCGAGGAGGGGAGTCGAGGAGGGGAGTCGAGGAGGGGAATTAGAGAAATGAGAAAGGGCCCCTGTCACCTGAGCCAGCAGGTTATCCATCACCTGGGGAAGGAAGCTATGCTTTGCCATTGCCCTGGACAAGGCTGGATTTTCAAAATAAAAGCTCTTAGATGGTAATGATAAAACTATATGTTTACCTTACAGTTCTTGCAATGAATGGTAATCATCTTCAAAATGTCTTCAAATACTCAAAAAATATAAATGAAAAACAATGAAGCTAAAAAATGAACGAAGTGTCTTAAATGACAAAGAATGTTCCTTGGTAAATGCATTCATTGACAGTCCATTGAGCTATCTGGTAACGCACATAATGCTACGTGAACTGCAATTCATAAAATACACATTTAGTTGCTTTAGAATATTTAAACATTTTGTCTCCAAAAAACAATCTTGATATGAATTGGTTGGTGGTGTAAATGTCCTGTAATGTCATGTTTGTTTTACTTGTATTCTTATACACAAGGATAAACAATAGCAATAAAGTGTATTATAAGTAGATTAGATTGGTTTTTGATATACTTTATTAATCACAATTTCCAAAAGCAGGAAGTAGATAAGACATTGCACAGGAATTAAAAGTAAAATAAAGTAGAACATTTAAAACTCCATATCCATATCAATATTTATTGAAGGATATCTATATGTATCCATTGAATACACTATATAATATACAAATAGGCAGTGTACATTATGGTAGGCCATTGTAAAATGTAAACATTGAATACAATATACAATGTTACAATACAATATTGTGTTAGCAGAATAATTACAGTGTAAAATCATCTAGGGACCATCTGAGAACAATAGGTGTATTCAATATAGGCCTACTCTATAGATAAATAAATATACTTCAATATTGATATGTTTATATTCACTTTTTTGTTTGATATCTCTTGTGTTTTTTAATTGTATTTCACTTTTAATTAATGTGAAATGTCTTGTCTTCATATTGCTGTGACGGATGTGATGCTAACATGTAGCAGAGGCAGCGGTCAGGTGCCTTCTTCCCGTTGCCATGGAGACCTTGGTTGCGGTCTTTATATATACAGTCTATGGTTGCGGTCGAATAGTCCATTTAGCTTAGGAACCTTCCTAACGGAGTGAAATGACCCGGAAGTCCCTCAGTGGCAGCCATGATAAGTGCCGTTCGAATTCTCTAAATGAAAGGAAAGGAGGTTTCAGACTTCCTTTATAACCTCCTTTAGCTTAGGAACCACTGGACCTCCCTAACCTAAAGGAGAGGAGAAAATGCTGCCCCACAATGCCTTGCGGCCGCGGCATTTGCCGTCACACAACAGTCGGCCGTTCACGGAAACAACCGATTATGAACGAGAAATGATAACATGAAAGTTACGGTGCTTATTAAGCATTTTAAAACGTATGTGGTAAGTTGCCAAAGTGCTTTGTTTTGAACATTCATCAGTATTATAATCAAAAAGAGAAATATGAACGTTAGTTTTTACTGAAATGATCAAATAAAGTCAACATTTCACAGTCTTTACTGAGCTGTGTGGGGTTTGTTCAACTTTTAAAAGATGTTTGAATGGTGATATACACAGTGATAGATGTTAAGGACGAGCATAAGTTTCACTTTCCTTTTTTATTTCAATTCCAACTTTGGTCATGAAGAATATGTTTCTCTGTTGTCCCCGTTCATAAAGCATAAAACAACAGCATCAGAGCACGGTGCAGAGTCTCTAGATGAGTTTACAGTAGTCCCTCGTTCTTATTAAACATCCATGTTGTAGTCCGCTGTATAGAAAACTGTAGTTTCCATAGTTTCCCCACAGCAGCAGACGCACATTTATGACCTCCGCTGGCGCATCATAAACACGTCGGATAGTGAACGTGCAGTCGGATTCTCTAAAGTACCGCAGTCTCTTCTCCTAAATCCTTTTGAATTCTCCTATCCACTATCCCTTAACCCCGTGACGTTTCACTCAGAGGTCAAGGAATAGACGATAGGGTTAGAATTTAGGAGCTGATTTTTGGACTATTCGACCGCAACCCTGCTGCAGAGCCACTATTTCAAGACTGTTTAAATGCATGTTAAATGCCCAGCATTCGGCGCCACTCGATGACGTAGTATACTTGAAATAGTAGGCTTGTTTGAGACAAGCGAGACCTGCGCAATTGCGATCAACGTCTTGCTAGTGCGTTGCATTAGTCATTTTGTCCGACTTGCTCTGGAGGCTCGCCTACATGAGACGTTGAAATCTCGCGGGACAAAGACACCCGCAGACTTGAGAGCGAGGCGCGGCGAGGCGGCGCAGTTTCTCTCCACGGGCTGCGGAAGCGAAATGCTTGATGGGAAACGATTCGCTGGTATCTCGAGCTGAGCGCTCATTGGTGGTTTTTACCCCGTGCTGGGGATGAAACTCTCCATTGGCTCGGCAAAAGTGTGTTGTTGTTTTGTGTCAGTTTTACGTCGCCACTTCCATTCACATTTTTCATCATTGTTGCACAATGTGTATCATCATTAAATTAATATCTATATATTTGTATACTATACTTGCACTGCTTACCGTTGTCATACTTTATATATCTTAGCATATTCATACAACACACTGTTCATACTAGGCTAGGCTACTGTGTATATAGTGTATTCATACCCCTCACTGTTTATTCATCATTCAATTCATTCTATATTTTATTCTGTAGATTGTGTACATTACTTTTCACTTTACTGCTTTATGCACTCCTGGTTAGAAGCTAAACTGCATTTCGTTGTCTCAGTACCTGTAATCTGTGCAATAACAATAAAGTTGAATCTAATCTTGAGCAGGAACAAATGTATTTACTTAGTACATATCTGACATTAACGATTAAACACATTTGTCCATTCTTTATCATGATCATAACACCAGAGGGAGCTCCACAAATCATGTAAAACCCAGATTTGGCACAAAAAAAGGGGAATACACGTTTCGCAATTATGCCACATCAAGGTGGAACGCTCTTCCCACAACTGTAAAGGAAAGTAAAACTATACTTACCTTCAAAACCTCTCTTAAAGAGCACCTTCGGGGGAAAGCATTGCAAAACTGGCCCCGGTAATGGTACAAATCTCAACCTGTCGTACAATGGACAGCTTCCCCCCCCCATCTATGTATATACTCGCATTTTAGACTCTGTTACTAACTGTATATCTGTAGACTTGGTATGTCTTAAATGTCCGGTTAGGATGTATTAGAACGAAATCTAAAATGAAAATTGTAAATAAGCCATCTGTATGTAAAAAACCACCTGTATGTAAATTGTAAATAAGCCATCTGTATGTCAAATATGTCTTATATGTCTTAAATGATATGATGAATTGGAAATGGGGGACCCTGATGTAAACAAGACGAAAGTCTTTCTCTGGTCTGCATCCCCTTAACAATTGTATGTTTTGAGCTGTACTGTACTGTACCCAATATACAAGCTGTTAATAAACTTTTCAATCAATCAATCAATCAATCAATCAATGTTTATTTATATAGCCCAATATCACAAATGTTACATTTGTCTCAGTGGACTTCACAGTTTGTACAGAATATCAGTATGACAATACGACCCCCTCTGTCCTTACGTTTCACATCATACAAGGACAAACTTCCAGAGAAAAACCCACAGTTTAAAGGGGAAATGGGAGAACCCTCACTGAGAGCAACAGAGGAGGGATCCCTCTCCCAGGACGGACAGACGTGCAATAGATGCCGTGTGCATTTATAAATGCAAACCGAGTAAAGCCGACTCCGGAAGTGGCGGTATGCACCTTAAAGTTGTTTGAAATCCGCCAAAAAACAAGCCTAGTGGCTCTGCAGCAGGTATACTCAACATTGAGAAACGTCCAGAAACACGTCCCTGTCCACTCCTGAAAACTCCGGCACGGACACTGTTTCCTGCAGCTCCATCTCACAGGAGCCCACAGCTGCCGGAAGTAAACAGCTCCCGGAGGGAAGCGGTGTCACTTCGTTACTCTTCCCCAAAGAAACCAAACATGACTAAAGAGTTGATTCCAAAAACAAACAATATGACATCATACATACATAAAACAAGGTGTTTGTTCTGCAAATAGTGAACATCGTAGGATATTATCAGAATTTGGGTTTTATTATTATCTGTATTTTTTATATTGGCAATTTGTTCCTCACCGGAAGATGCAAGGGCACGGACAAGAAGGCTCCCGGGGGCACAAAGATGGCGCTGCCCGTGCTGAGAGGGTGTCACAGGGTTTCATCAACACTGAAAATTACTCGTCTGTTTTTAAATGAGAGTCCCGTCCTGAACCGGGGTGGGAGACCGCGGCTGCCCCCCCCTCCCGCGCTGCGGCCGTTCAGCTCGGCCGCCGGCGGGCAGCAGAACCAGAACCAGAAGGTGGTGGTGTTCGGCATCCCGAACCCCTTCATCTGGGTCCGAACCCGGATGTACTACTTCCTGATCCGAGTCTACTTTGATAAAGAGTTCAGGATCGAAGAGTTCTCAGAGGGAGCCAAGCAGGTAAACCCGTGAGAAGAGATGGGGCTGAAGTAATGAAATCCATTTGAGATGATCCTTTTACAATCAGTGGTGTAAAGTAACTAAGTACATTCACTCAAGTACTGCACTTCAGTATTTCCATGTTGTGCTACTTTGTACTTCTACTTCACTGCACATTAGAGAAAAATGGTGTACATTAATTTCACTACATTTATTTAATACCTTTAGTTACTTTACAGATCTGGATGAATGATGTGAAATATAATCAAGTCTTAAATCAGACTTTAGTTCCACGTGGAGTAAATTCACAAGCTACCCTGCAGTATACAAAGTCATTCAAACTAGCTGCACCTTTACCAGCTTTGAGAACACTTTAAAGGTCCCATGTCATGGCCATTTCTACTGATCATAATTCCATTGTTGAGGTCTACTAAAATAGATTTATATTGTTCAATGTTCCAAAATCACATTGGTTTCTCATACAGCATCTCTGTATGTGTTCACTCTCTGTCCTAAACGGCTTGTTGGAGCTCCTGCACCCCCCCTACTTTTACTCAAGTACAAGATCTGAGTACTTCTCCCACCTCTGCATAAAATACATGCAGCTTGAAAGCCTTTACCATAAGCAAAATAAATTAACCTAGATTTTCACACTTAAAAAAAGACTGCATGCACTAAAGAGTTCCAGGCTTGTATCAAGAAAGTCACAGCTAGTTAAAGTCCAAAAATGAAGATGTAAGTTTAAGCTTTCTTTTTCAATAACAATATGTATCAAAGTGGTTTCCCAGGTATCTGTCCGTAGTGTGTTTTATAAATCTGTGTGATGATTGCGGCTGTTTCTCAAGGCCTCACAGAGCACATGATCACAGCTGTAGTGTTTTGAATGGGCTGACGAAGTGAAGGCAGGAACCGGTTTTTCAGCATCTTTTGATTTCCTAAATGTCTTTGTTTACTCTTGCAGGCCTTCTCACATGTTTCCAGACTGCTGTCCAAGTGCCAGCTGGATGCTCTGGAAGGACTGGTGGCTAAAGACGTGAGTCTCAAACGTTCTGATCCTCTCCTTACTCAATGTCTGAGTCTGATGCACTCTTCTGTACTACATGCATTTGTATACAACATGCCTGCACTCTTACGGCCCGTCCACACGGCGGCGTGCGTTGAAGCTTCAACGCTTCTTCCCATTCACTTTGAATGGGGTGACGTCACGCTTTGCCGAACTGCATTGTGGTTCCGTCGCTTCACTTTGCTCACGTTGCTCGCTTCAAAAGTAGAGCAATGTTCTACTTTTGAAGCTTCGACGGAAGCGTCAGCCAATCGAATCATATGCCAGTACAAGCTCTAGCCAATCAAACCGCGTCCTTGTGTGCCGGGGCGGGAGATTCATGTGATTGGTTGTTGGTCGAGTTTCAGACACGCCCACCGGCAAGCTTCAACGCACGCCGCCGTGTGGACGCTGCGTTACTGTGTGAACTTTTCTGCATGAATCTAAATAAGAGTTGTAATGGTGGTATTTATAATGTTTCATATAATTCCCTAATTGATTCTCATTTTTTGGCAACAGCATCTATTTCCCTTGTGCATTAGATTGTGTGACGGTAGTGTGCATGGTGTAAGGATTCTGTACATTATCATGCAGCTCAAACATTGATCACTTATTTGTCATAACATGTTCTGGCTCTGGTCCAGGGCATTTCCTTCTTTCCGCCGTGCTTTGAACCGCATTCAGAGTTTCAGAAATGCTCAGATGCAGTTTATTATGAGGGGTTGTAAGTAAGAATAACAAAAAAAAAATTTGAATTTCAAATTAATTGATCACACAAAAAGATATCATAACATAATCAAGACTTCTTGTATCAAAGATAGACTTGCAGTATTCCTATCTAATGTTCTGTGTCTGCAGCTGATTGGGAAGCTGGAGGAGAAGCTGAACCTAATGCCATCCAACTATAAGAAGGCTCTGTCTGTGGAGCCGGAGGAGATCATGTACACCACTCCTGGAGACGTGAGGATCTACTACCATGATGACGGTCAGCAGCAAGTCTACTTCCTCACTCTCTTTTGAAAGGATAAGGCCGAGTGCTATCTTTGTGCTCCTTCTTCTTGTCAGTTAGTCCCATGAAAACCAACAATGAATTTATTTTATAAACAAGTATTTTCTATAAAGGCCTAAAAACCTTTCTTTAAAAAAAAGCCTTTGATTCAACTTTTTTTTCTTTTGTTTGTTTTTAAAATGCCTCCTGCTTTTAGCAATGAAAGGTGCTTTACAACTCAAATGTAGTATTATTATTATTATTAAAGAAAACACCTGATAATATATTTTTCTCTGTGCCAATAATCCATCTCTTCAAGGAGCTCTGGGTGACATGTTCTTTTATTACTATGAACGCACTTCCTGTAGGTTATTCAGATTGAATCTCACATACTCTGTCCTGCTTCTGGAAATACACAAAATGTCCGCTGTTTTGGCCCATTTGTGAGTCTTCTCTTTCTAGATGAATCCTCCGCAGAAAGGCCTCGGGTGTGTCAAGAGGTCGAATGGGATGAAGTGACGGACTGATGCATTGTAGATTTTGTTCTTTGTATTGAATTTGTGGAGAGAAAAATACAGATAAAAGCCAGACTTATATTGCAGATGTAAACAATGTTCAGGTGTCTTTGCTGATTTCGTATATATGAATTGGTAGGGCTGTTTTGAATAGTTAAAAGATTTATTCAAAACTTTGACTTCTCTAAATTCTAAATTAAAATCAACATTCTAATATATATATATGTTATTCTTTCACATGTCTTTTTACATTGTGTCTGAAGCTGAATCAAACCTTACCAGTAACTCCAGAGTTCAAATTCAGTATTTATTGAAACCAAAAAGTTCACAAGATGTTTCATCTGAGCAAATAGTCTGCTTCATTCTAGATTCTAGAAAAGAAAAGGCTTATTTTAGGGTGAAATTGATATTTTATGATTTATCTCAATAAAAGCTTTGAATGTGAAAAAAAGACATTCTGTAAAGATCTGCATTCATTTGTATGGAACTTGTTTTTTATGTTGCCCAATATCACCAATCACAAATTAGCCTAACAATCTGTTCAGTATTCATGTACATACATATCACCCTGATATGTATGTACATATCAGGGTGATATGTATGTACATATGTGTACATGTTGAACCGTTGGAAAAGGAAAAGCCCAGATTATGCATTGATCATCGGTGTACGTTCTTTCTTTTCAGGGAGAACATTTGTCAGCATTCTGATGCGTTTCTGGTATCTGACAAGCGCACGTCTCCCTGAGGACACCATGGAGGGAACGCGGGTGTTCCAGGTGGCGCTCGGTGAGGAGGGAAAAGCAGAAACTAAGAGACTCCTGAGTGCAAACTATGAGTGAGTCCTGCCCGGAGTGTAACCACTTGGAAATGTAAATGTTGAAATTCTCTTGTGTGACTTTGACTTCTGCTCTGACTTTCTGACAGATTCCAAAGGGAGTTCACTAAAGGAGTGGCTCCAGCCTGGACTATTACAGGGATAGAGCACTCCAAGCTTTTGGATTAAGATGCTTTTGATTTGACGCAGTGTTGCTGATTGAAGACATTAACCCCCTCAGTATTTGCCTTCAAATTGAGTTTTTACTTTTGAATCGCACAGAGCAAATGATGATGCTTCTCCTCACAGGGGTGTCAGAGGAAAGCACCAGGACAAAGGTGGAGTCAGACACTGTTCACTGTAGAGAAGACACATGGCAACCCCCCCCCCCCCCCAAAAAAAAACATCAGAACTTGTCTGGTTTTGTATATTTAAGAGTGTGGCCAGATTCATGTATACGTTATTTTCAAATAATTTGTAAATGTAAACTATGATGTTACCATATGGAGGGGCTTGTTCTTGAAAACTCTCATCTTGTTTTCTATTTTTGAAGATTTGTTTCCATAAAACAATGTCTTTCTTTTTTTCAACACAACCCATTACAGTCAACTGATTCATACATATATGCATGTACATGTACAGGTGTATATATACTGTATGTACCTTGTGTATACATGTGTTTGCAAAGATTAAGGCAGCTTGATAAAGCTGCAGCAGACCTTTGATTGTTTTATTAAAGATTTGAGAAATGAAAAATGTGCCATTTATTCCACTCACATTTTAAACATGTTTTGCATTAAAAAAAAATCTTATATAAATCTAGACAGTGCACAGAGCATAGTACCAGTTGTCGCAATTGTTTGTGTTTGAAGAATTACAGTTAATAGGTATTTTTATTTATTTGTATCTTATAAGCTAAGGTGTAGTAAAAGCATAGAAGATTCAAAGTAATGATTATCAAATGCACAATAGATAGAGCATAGTTGTTAGAAATTTAAAAAATGTAGGGGCGGCTCCATCTTTGCTGATGAGATGCCCGAGGAAGTGGATGGAGGACAACCCGAACTGACACTTTGCCGGGTTGATAATCAGGCTGTGTTGGTTGAGCCTCGCGAAAAGGACACGGAGATGTGCCTGGTGCTCTTCAGAGGAGGAGCTGGCGACAAGGATGTCGTCTAAATAGACGAAAATTTAAAAAATGTAGTCGCAACAGTGCAGTGGATCTACTTAAGACATGCAGTAAAAAGTGAAAAGAAATAGTGGACGTGACTCAATGGTGCAATTAAAATTCAGGAATAAGCAATAGGCTATATTGTGTATATGTAAAATAAAGTAAGATGAAACGGAATATAAAATAAAATACTGCTTATTGTATAAATATGTGGACTGTAAACAGATGAATATGATATTAACAAATACATCTTAAAAGAAAAGTAGAAATGAAACGGAAAATTCCCTGAAAGAAAATACATTTAGCAGCTAAATTTAGCAATCCGTATGTGTAATTGTGTCACTCGCTCTCTGCTCTTCCATTGGTCTATTTTCACATATCTCTCCTCCCATTGGCCGAAAAACCTGCCAATCACTAGCTTTTCTGTAGTGTGTGGTTCCTATTGTGAAGTGAGCGGTGGGTCTGACAGCCTGTGGTGTTACGGCGAGGAGGAGTCGGGAGGAGTCCACAGAATGGAAATGAAAAGATGGAGGTGAAACACCTGTAGTATCTGAAACCCAGAGGCACAACTGAACCATGAAACTCGCCACTGTGGCCTTTTACGGGTTTGCTCTGGGGCTACTGGCGGTCGGCCTGCGAGAGTTGCTGACTGGCTTCGAGGAGAACAGATGCAGCATGACCTACATGTTTGAATACCCGGAGTACCGGGTGAGTAGCCATCCAATTATTATCCCCCCAACTCCCAGCATGACGTTCCCCTTACATTAGCTAGTAGCGAAGTGTGCCTCATTCCTGGCCAAGGCTAAATAAACCCTAGCTTGCTAAATGTTTTCATTTCAATACCGCGAAAATAGTGTTTGCATAGAAATGATTCACGTAGAGCTTCTTTAAGCTATTTCCTAAAACATGCTAATGTTACCTAGCAGAACAAGTCAACGCCAGGTGTAGTGCTGTGATGCCTTCTATTTCCTCAATGGGACACACACACACACACACACACACACACACACACACACACACTTCAAGATCCATTGTCAAATACTGTAAGAAGAAACAGATTAGAAATAAAATAATGCAAGATTAGTAATGTAGAAGAAGTGAACAATATACATGTCAAATCAAATAGAAAGCTACATGTTGCAGAGACCAGCCTGGTTGCTTAGAAGTTTGTTGGGGATTTGGATTAGCCACAATTAGCTATGTTCTAAAAGCATACATCAGTTGCTGATCCTACACTCTGAGCCTTTAAGCTTAAAACAGGCTTCAAGTCAGCTACTGTTCGTTTTAGTAATGCAATGGAGCTCTTTTTCTACTGCTTTTTGCCCAATGTGTTCATCTGTCCAGATGTGCAGCACAGCTGGGACAAACTAAGCTATAATCATAAACTCCACACAGGACTGTAGGCTTTTTGTTCTAAGAGAGGTAAATACATGAAAACATCTGTTTGCTGCTTGTGATGATCACGGGCAGAGGGAAAGCTATTCAAATGTAGTACATATTGTTTGAATAAGTAGGCTAATGCTGAGGTGAAAAGCATAGGTTGCTCTGACATCAGTGTGAAACTACATCTGAAATCACTTATTTTGACTTATAAATAATTTAGGAAAAAAAGCATTCTGAAAATGTATTGCTCGTGCTCTCGCATACATTATCTTCAAGATTCTTGTTTTGTTCAAACAACAGTTAAAACCCCTCAAATACTCAATGTTCAATGATAATGAAATGATAAAGCAGTAAGTAGGCCTACTCATATTATATAGGCTGGACATTTTCTTTAATTTAAATGATAGATTATTATAGAAAAGTATTAAAATAGTTGAAGATCCACTTTCTCCTTCAGTTTCCCCCCTTATTAACCTTATCTGTTCATACATGTAATCAGTATTGCCATCCCCAGATGTAGTCTCACACTTGTACAGTATCTGTACCGAACAAAGTACTTTATACTATGGTAATAATAGTCTGGACATCTCTTGTACACATAAAGGGTCAGTTAAACCTGAATGTTCCATTACTACTCACGTAAAAGCAGAGTTTAGACTCTGCAGGTGGCCAGCAGTCTGCTGTGTGTACAGTAGCTGACAAAGGTTAATGCCCAGAGTTAGCTGTGTGGGACTTCCCCTCCTGCTCTGTGTGATTGTGTGTGTCTGTGTGTGTTGTGTTTGCAGCGTGTGTCTCTGCCTCGTCGCGTGGCCAGACTGTACCCAGCGTACGGCCTCTACCTGTACGGAGAGGGTGTGTACGCCCAGGAGACCCGAGCGCTCAAACTCACCGGGGCCCCTGTGCTCTTCCTGCCAGGAAATGCAGGCAGCTACAAACAAGGTAAGTGCAGGAAATAAATGAGCGGTCAACGAGAGTGAGAAAAAAAAGGCAAGGGTTTTGGTTTGGAGAGCAAAGGCTTTCAGATGCAGAAGAAGGAGGTCATTTCTTTTCAATCAGTGGCTGAGGATGTTTGAGGACCTGAGCATAGCTTCATGCTTTATGTCGATGTGACTGACTGGCATGCACACAAGCTTTTCCTTTGGTTAACACGGTGGATGTTACAGTTATGCCAGGTGGGTGGTTTTTGGAATCTATGCATCCTAAAAAACTGGCTTTTACACTAATCACCCAAAAGTGTGTTGTGTTTTCTTTTGCATTTTTTGTTTTGATAAGGTGCTTTTATCATTTGAAAGCAGTATAGATAACCTTTCCACCTTGGTGTTTCCTAAAAGAGTTGTTGGATTATTGTTGTGTTTTTCTCAGAGCACAAGACACTGCATTTGTTTCCTAAATAACTGTGCAACAGAGACTTTGATAACATGCTTACTGTCATTATTCTACAGCCATTACTTTCATGATGTGTTGCCAGTTTGAAGACATTGGTGTACACCCCTTTCCCACCGAACCAGTTCCAGGGCCGGTTCGGAGCTAGTGCCTGATTAGGAACCGGTTCTTCCTGTTCCACGGCAGCCGGCCGGCTCTTATCTGGCACCAAAACACTGCTCTAAGGAACACAGGGCAGGAAAGCCATAAGACAATAGAGTGAAACATTGTCCTTTTGCTCTACTCATCAGATTTGTTAAAAATTAGAACATTATAAATTAATTATATTGTATATGAAATAAAACCTCTTGGGGAATGAAGCCATCAACATAATGTTTTGTCTGAATACTAACTGAGTTATGCTCTCAGGGATGGAAGTCTTCCTGAGATGATGGCGGCCCTGTGTTCTTGCTATCAGTTGTGTGTAGGAGGGGAACACCCACGCTTTGATTTGTGTGAATACAAACACATTCTGCTGTTTGTGATGCTGGTCCATGCTCTCTCTGCTCTTCAACATTTCTGCCTAACATTAAGAGTCTTTGAGCTAATGTATTTTGAACAACAGCTGTTGGTTTGAGAAGCTTCCTAAGTTCACAAGTGAAACAGCTTGATGGAGCACCGGTGTTCAGTAAGATCGGGGTGTTGCTTGGTGTGTCTTCATACAGGGAAGTAGTCCAGACGGTTAGTATCTAACGAGCTTTATTAGCAGTAAAGAGGTCACACAAAGCTGCCCTGAGGATCTTAGGAAGTGATGACTCTTCAATAATCAATCATTCAAACGAAATAAAACAATACTTGGCATATAACAATCATTGCTGCATATATGTTGGTTCATTCATTTATATATTTTATTCTCTCACCCTACCTCATAACATTTCAATTTCAATGTAAAACTGCACATGAATAAGTAGTATCTTTAGTATCCCATGTTTATCTTTTGTACATTGTATAATTGTACTAACTTATCCTCTATATTTATACTATGTATTCGATAGAGATAGAGATACTCTATAGAGATATATGTTTTTACTGTTGATATTTGTATATATTTACAGTTAATGTTTATTTTCTCGGTCATGTTTGAACTCATGCAGGGCCTTTTGTACATCCTGCTTTAACATGGAATGCTGGAAGTCCTATTCTGATGAAATCTAAAGGCACAGTCGTCCACAATCACTGCTAACCTTCATCCGCCAACAAGTCATAATAATAATAATAATAACTTCAATGTATATAGCGCCTTTCAGGGGACCCAGTAAGTAAGCATGAGCCTGGAGTCCATGAGCCAATGCACACCTCTTTCTGCGCAGTGATACGAAGAAAGCAAGAAAGTTAGTTGTACATGAAACTGCTCACAGCACGTCTGTGGATTTTCTTGATAAACAGGTCATGATTTAGTTTCATGAAGGGAACTTGCTGTTCAGTTTTTCAGATATATATTTCTGGTCTAGTGCTATCTAGTTGCATTATATTTGAGAGAGTAGATATCTCCAACACTCTGCAACTCACAACTAAACTAATGACATGAATAAATAGCTGTACAGGTAATAGGGGAACAAATGGTTGAACCGTTTAAGCTGAGCATAGTGTGATAGTTACTTGACTTGAATCTGCTTGATTTCTCAACATGTCTGTAAAAGTCCCAGCCTGGTTGCAGCGTTTGACACCATCAATGTGTTCTTCTCTCTAAAGCTCGCTCCCTGGGCTCTGTGGCCCTGAGGAAGGCTGAGGACATGGAGGGAGGTCTCCACTTCAACGTGTTCACCGTGGACTTCAACGAGGAGCTGGTGGCCCTTTACGGCGGCAGTTTGTTGAGGCAGACACACTTCCTGCACGAGAGCATCAAAGCCATCCTCAGGCTATACAAGGTCAGGCCTCAAATATCATCGAGTCGTCACACGGGGTCACTTACTTAGTGACAGACAGTGCTGGGGTTGAGTGTGAGGGTGCATATCTCCTTTCATCACACTCTACATTTAGACTTTATAATTAACCCATCTGACTAGCACATATCACAGTAGTACAAAAAACATGGCATAATGTCAATTAAAAGAAGCATTAGACAGAAAACACACCTGTCCAAAAACACTTAATTTATGAAGTCTCTAAAGATCATAACAATGTTAACCAAATACAAAGTGACCCTTCAGAGAAACACAAGTGACAGCTTAAACAAAGAGGATAATAAGAAATATAGATAGATGTGTTGTCTACTGCACTATCGAATGGAAATACTGAACCTTTCTAACACTACTATTTAATAACAATCCTCGACCCAGAGTTTTAGTAAAGTGATTGTAGTAATTACATAAACCTCAAGTTTCAACACTCAGTATTCTCCTTTTCTCTGCCTGCCAGCACCTGAAGACCCCCCCTCAGAGTGTGGTTCTCGTTGGTCACTCCATGGGGGGGGTGGTGGCCCGGGCGCTGTTCACCCTGCCCCGCTTCAACACCAATCTGGTGAGCCTCATCATCACACAGGCCTCCCCCCACCTGGCTCCAGTGCTGGCCCTGGACCCCTACCTGCTGGGTGAGGACCCCTCAGGCTGTCTGCAGTCGTCCCGTGCTTTCACTGCAACACAACCACTGCTGCTTAAACTGATTATCTGAGTAGCTTTATCCAAAGGAGCACTGTGTTGTTCAGCTGCTATGAAAAGTTGCATTTGTATGACATTGGACCTTAAACTGAACTCTTTACTTACCATCAAAAACAGCCAACCAAGTACTAGGGTTGAGTGCTTAACAATGGCTTCCCTTCAGCTGTTAATAATATAAAAAAACAATCATTCTATCACAGCTTTGACTCTACCTTATCTGGAAACTTAGTCAAGATTCAAATGCAAGCTGTCGGATTCGTACTTTACATTTGACAGTGACTTATTTGGGTTTGTAAACATTTTCAGAACCTTTCAATACCATTTATGTACTATGAAATATCAAAATGAGGATAACTAAACTTGTCTTTGTCCCTGCTCTATGTAGATTTCTACTCTGCAGTGAGACAGAAGTGGGTGAACCAGGCCAAAAAGCTCAGGAACGTCACAGTTTTGTCTGTTGGGGGTGGTTACCGTGACTACCAGGTCCGCTCCGGCCTCACATCCCTCCCTTGTCCCCCAGGAGACCCGAATAAGTTGTCACTGGTGGTAAGTGCTGTTATAATGATATCATGTGTTCTGTCTGTCCAGAGCAGTGTTTCGTCAGCCGCTATTTATCGTACCAGGAAAATCTGTTGGAGTCCGACTAATTCAAATCTTTACTACATTTTACTTAACTTTATCTCAAGACATAATGTCCAGTAAAAATAATTCCATCTAAGCACAATTTTACATTTTTAAAGGGTTTTCAAGGATGAGTCAGCACAAGCTGCTCTCATCGTTGCCACAAGCTGCGAGGACAGACTCTGGTTATGGAGATCATATTTTCTCGGCCTGCTACGTCCTCATTAATGATGGCCAAAGTAGCCTGTGAACCCAGTACCAGCGTGCCGGTGGAGAGAATTCTCTCTGCAGAAGTTGCAGAACAGAATTAAACAGACCCTGATAAAAGCAAAGATTTTATTAAACCTTCATTGACAGCTGAGCTGACTCCTCACTCCTCTTAACTGCTTCTGTAGCAAAAGGCTAAAAACAAGCATGTTTGCCTTTAAAGGTCCCATGTCATGGCCATTTCTACTGATCATAATTCCATTGTTGAGGTCTACTAGAATAGATTTATATTGTGCAATGTTCCAAACTCACATTGGTTTCTCATACAGCATCTCTGTATAGTATGTGTATTCACTCTGTCCTACACGGCTTGTTGGAGCTCCTGCCCCCCCCTCCCTATGAGCCCAGTGGCCGTCTGCGAGACAGCGAGACACAGCGAAACCCAGCCCGAACACACACACACACACCCGCAGCCTGGCTGGGAGTTTGTGTGTGTGCTCACACACCGACTCACAGCCTCGCCGCGTCCCGCCGTCTCAGGGAGGAGAAATCGGCGGAGCTGCAGCTGAGAAAAGATTGAGTGTGTGTGAGGAAGTCCTTAAAGTAACGGCTCCACTAATTGGTCCATTTGGGTATGGGCACGTCACTGTACCCAGGAAGAAAATAATGGAAAAAGAGAAATGTCCAACGAGGCGTTCTGGGGCAGCATAGACAGGTCTTCTCTGTGTTAGAGTTTTACTCGCTACAGGGTGTACTTTGAGGGTTTGTGACTCTGCAGACCGGTTACATGCAGAAAAAGCTACATAACACACAAGGGGACGGGTAATAACCGGAAAAGCATGACATGGGACCTTTAACTAACATCCATAGAAAGGTTTGGTCTGATTTTGAGCTCGAGCATCTACAGATTAATTCCATAACTGATGTTAAAAAAGTTAAAGAGCCTTGTGATGAAAAAAGATGCAATAAGTAAGTATAATGACAAAATCTCACAAATTAATGAGTAAGTGTTTAAAAACTATGAGAAAGCATCTACAGGTGAAGTGACTGGGTCGAAATGTAGTTCCTGCTTCAGAGGTGTTATCTTCTGCCTTATGAGCCCTTATGAGACAATAACTCAAATACTATTGTTTTGATCTTGTGTCACTCTGACTTTTCATGTCATCTTGTTTTTGTCAAGGCAACTGCAGTTCCCAGGACCTGGGTGTCTACTGACCACCTGTCCATCGTTTGGTAAAAGACATGACCTTATGTTTGCTAGACTTTGCATGTCTTTAGAACTATATTTAAATAGTATGCAGATGATATAAGTATATATGCCCTTGTGTTCCAGGTGCAAAGAGCTTGTTCTTGCTACTGTCAGGGCATTATTCGACCTCATCGATCCTGAAACCAGACAGGTTGGTACAGGAAACCTTAATACTAGGGATGCACCGATTTAAAAAATGGTTTGCCGACTAACAATTTTGCAGATGTTTTACTGTAAATACTGTAATAGTAGCATAATGCAGACAAGGACAGCCTATCCCTTTAAGAGAGAAAGAGGGGGATATGTGTGTGGTGTGTGCATGTGTAGAGCGAGATAGAGAGCGAGAGCGAGAGAGAGCGAGCGAGCGAGAGCGAGAGCGAGAGCGAGAGCGAGAGCGAGAGCGAGAGCGAGAGAGAGAGAGATATTCTGGAAGTTAACGGGAGAACAGTATAACAAAGTCACAAATATAAACAATGGCAGAGAACATTGAATGTTGGATTTCATTTACCTCACAGAGGAGAGGAGACTGTACTGTACTAGAGACATTATATTTATTTTTGATAAGAATGCTTCTTCCCATCTGTCTCCAAGCTTACGTGTTTGTTCTTATTAGTTCTCAGTAAACCCAGAGAAGAAAATGGCTGTCCTGAACCATCACTTCATCAGACACCCTGTCAGGATGCTGGAAGAAACTCAAGAAACCTCCGTCTCCATCTCAGGTTAGAGGGACACACCTCACCCTGGAGAGCCGAGGAAACAGACGTGCCAGTACTCTTCAGAAGTCTAGTGTTTACAGCACATTCATGTCCATGTGCTTTTAGAACCATATTTCTGCATACAGTATGCATTCATTTTCTCTATAAAGCAAAGTGAATGAATGAAGATTTGACTGAGTGGCATTATTCATGAATCACTTCTTTCTGTGTCTTTTTTTTCCAGATTTTCCTGAAGCATGGAGTGAAGTTAACACACTGCGTCTGGCTTACAGCACACCAAAGGTATCAGACGTTGTTATTTATATATATATTTGAGAAAACAAAAGCCCTGATACTGTCACAAAATGAATAGGCTGGTTGTCTTCATTGTTGCTCTGTGTCTACAGGAAGGACAAGTCAAATACTTTCTGTTTGCCCTGTCGAGCCGCAGGAAAGCCTACAGCCATTTCTACTGCCGGAGCAACAACCTGGTGAGAGTTGGCCGCACTGGGCTAATGCTGGGCTAATGCTGGGCTAATGCTGGGCTAATGCTGGGCTAATGCTGGGCTAATGCTGGGCTAATGCTGGGCTAATGCTGGCCTCCCCTCTGTGTTTAACTCACTCACACATGCTCCCCCCTAAACACCTCATATCATCAAATAATTACTTGCTTTGCCAAAAAAATCACTTAGTATTGCAAAACAATGGCTTAGTATCTAAAATAATGAATCACACACGGCTATGATTTCATCTAATCTTTTTTCTTTTACAGACAGGTATGAACTTTTATAGATGACTCTTGTTTATGCTTGAATATGTCTTTTACACAAAATACATTTGTGGAAATGGGCTTCCAAAGTCATCTGTACTAATTCTGATTGTGATTATTGTTGTTGTCCTACAGGAGATGAGTAGCTGGGTGTACGGCTGTGTGAACGGTTCTTCATGGTGAGAATCTGATAATAGTGTTATCTCTTTCCTACTGTATATTCTCCATCAGCATCTGGATAGTTGAACTGTCCTATTTGTTCTGCACTTTATTACAACGAACAGATCATATGATGTCATTTGTGGTTATATTACAGCAGATGATGTTTCCAAAATGTTTCATTTTTGCTCTTTTATATTTGACAGTGTGCATACAGTGGATCTGTCCACAGGAACTGAGCTCCTGCCACCCTACAAGGTAACTGTCCTCTGAAGAGACACCCTCCAGTCTGAGCTGGTGTTGGTTACTCATGGTTACTGTTCTCCTCCTCAGGTCCTCGTTCTGAGTCTCAGCAACTTGTCTTCAGTTACTCATCTGCTTGTTTCTGCCTCCAACCTCAATGGCAAACAGGTACATTCATGCTATGAGGCCTGAGACAGCCCAGCAACAGTAGCCAGAACAGACAGAATAAAAAGTCCGTAACAACCTGGTTTAGAATTATGACTAATGTTCATTTACAGTATAGAAATGTCATAACAAAGTGTGTCTGGTCCACAGTTTACAGTGGAGTGCGAGTGGCAGAGACAAGAATCTCAGACTCTGTCTGTCCCAGCACCACATGTCCTGTCCTTTGGTGAGTAATGTTTCTAGGTTCATTTCCATCTACTGGTGTTTTGCTTTTTCAAATTTAGCATACAAAACTTGAGTGGAATTTTGAACAAAATCTTTAAATATAACTCATGTTTGGCTGAGGTGGAAAAGTTGGTGTATGGATGAAAGCAAAATGTGACAATGTGCAATCGAGGCAGATTTAGAAATGAACCCCGTCGTCTATTGATGCAGATGTTCTTAGATAGATGGATAGATATATACTAGGAGGGAAAAGACACATTACTTTCAGTAACTGTTGGTTGTTCCAGGTCTGACTGCCAGCGATGTTTCTGTCAACTCCTCTGGACTTCTTCACATCATCCAGCTGCAGCACTTCCACCAGGTAGATCTGTGTTCGCTAATGCTCGCGGCCTCTATCACTGATCTTCCTGTCTAACTGCATTCTAAACCCTCTGTGTCTTTAGGTCTATCAGGCTCTGAGGATTAATGTGGCAAGCCAGTGCAAAGTACACAAAGGTAAGTTCTTGTTGTGATACATAGGCAGACACATTGGCCCATCTTCAAATGTAATAATGACCATTTGACATGTGCCTGCAGATAGACTGCCCAACGTGTACAGAATACATGTCCCGTGGTTTGGAGAGGACTCTTTAACCACCGCCAGGTCAGTGTGTCTCTGAGCTCTTTCTGCTGGCACTCACACGTCATATTCACTGATTCTGACACTTGATGTTGTCTGTTTGCCAGTGTGCCGTCAGTGACTGAGATCTCAGGGATGCTACACACAAGTCGTCCAGACAACAGCTCAGGTGTCTTCCTTCTGCTCCACACTGCCCCCAACTGCCAATATAAGGTACTACTCCTCAGGCGTGGGAAGTACTCAGACCACCATTCATCATGGCAAATGTTTTCTCTAATCACCGATAAGAAGGTTAGAACATGATGTGAAATATATGGTTCTCCCCCTCAGGTATCAGTAAGGACTTCATTACCCCGGGTGTTGGGACAGGTAGAACTTTCTAGTATTTTATTTTCAGTTTGTTTGTTTCAGTTTCATTTAAATCACTTCAACATTTATTGTTCCCCCAGGTCTGATCGGATCTGTTCTCTCTTATTTTGCAGATACTGCGGTTCTGTGGTCCTATGGTGCCTGTGTACACAGCTGTTACCCTGCTCCTGGCCTGTAGGGGGCAGCTGTGCTCCATCCTGAAGTCCAGGCGCTCTGCAGACATGAGCCAGGTGGTGGGCAAAGGCCTGCAGCCCCATCAAGTCAATCTGCCTGTTTATATTCTGCACATGTTACTGAGGTGAGGCTTTGGAAGTTGAATTTAAGTGGAGATGGGAGAAGTACTCAGATCTGGTACTTAAGTAAAAGTAGTAAGTACCAGAGTATAGGAATACTCCGTTACAAAAATCCTGCAATCAAAATGTTACTCAAGTAAAAGTAGAAAAGTATTTGCATCAAAATATAGTTAAAGTACCAAGAGTAGTCATTATGCAGATTGGTCCATTTCAGAATAATATATATGATATGTTTTATAATGATTGATCATGAAAGTGTTCTCAAAGCTGGTAAAGGTGCAGCTAGTTAGAATGACTTTGTAGACTGCAGGGTAGCTTGTGCATTTACTCCAGGTGGAGCCAGTGGCGACTCGTCATTAGGGGCAGGCTGGCACAGCCCCACCTAGTGTCAGCAGAAAGTAATGCAAATAATAATTCCCCAAATATGCAAAAAAAATATATGTTAAAATATATTTTAAGATCATGTTTAGTCCTCTGATTCGTCTGTACATTGCTGTTTTAGTCTGTGTTCTTCTAATTAGTGTCTACAGTGTGCCTATTGAGCGATGTGGGGCAAGTCCCTCTCTCTGCTGTTAAAATGAATGGGTGCTGTAAAAACTACACTGTTTAGGCTATTGCTCTGCTGGATCGATTGATATTGTGACCTTGGTGATGAGTGTCTACAGCTATTTGTTTACGTGTTTAAAAAAAGCACCAGAAGCTTATATATACACATCTAAGTTGTTCGTGCCCCACCACTTTTGTACATATCAAAACGCCACTGGGTGTAACTAAAGTCTGATTTAACACTTGATTATATTTCACATCATTCATCCAAATCTGCAAAGTAACTAAAGGTATTAAATACATGTAGTGGAGTAAAAGTACACAATTTACCTCTGAATTGTAGTGGAGTAGAAGTACAAAGTAATAACATTGAAATACTATAAAAAAAAGTAGTCTAACAAAAAGTATACTTACTCAAGGTACTTGCTTCTCCCCCCTCCGATCAGCTGTAGCTGGTTTCAAGATGTCTGGTTTGTAGACAAACGTCTGAATGTCTGAATTGTAGTGGAGTAGAAGTACAAAGTAATAACATTGAAATACTATAAAAAAAAGTAGTCTAACAAAAAGTATACTTACTCAAGGTACTTGCTTCTCCCCCCTCCGATCAGCTGTAGCTGGTTTCAAGATGTCTGGTCAGTTCTCTACCTCCCCCCCATGGATGCCCTCCCCTCAACCACACCTGACATGACATTCCATGAGGGTGGGGTACCAGTTGAAGAATGGCCCCACCCCCTGTCCCCTCTGTTTTACATCTGGGGGGCCGCTGTGGCGTTCTGGGGAAGTGCACTGCTGCGTCTCATCGTGAGGCTGATCTCTCTAATACTGGCTCCACTGCACAGGTCGGGTTGGACATTTAAACATCAGGATATGTGAATTCAAACTATTTGGATGGTCTGTAAGCATTTCAGTACGTATGTTTCTGCATGGCAAATAGGAAGCTTACACTCAGCTAGGCCTTGTGTGTCTGATCTGTATTTCAAGCTTAATCAGGAGGGTGTTTATCTTTTCCATTTATTTTTGCCATATTTAAGGTTTTGTTTTTCCATGGTTTAGAAATGTGCGAATACCCTGATGGAAAGGATGCATTATTAAATATGAGCTGATATGCATGCATTTCTGAAACTTGGAAATGTAAACATTAGATAAAGCCATATTTAATATTCTTGGTTCATTTGCTTGACTTATTAGAGTAACTCACAAGCTGTCAATATGTGTTATGTTTTAAGGAATGTTATATAAATCAAGCTACAAATGATATATGACCAAACCCAATTTAACAAGTGGAGATTTCTGGCAAATTTCAGACTTTAGAAATATTTAGTTCAAAAATCCATATTCAAATCCAAACCTCCTCTTCTTTGCAGACCATCCGTCTCTAGAGACTGCGGCACTCTGCCACGGCGGACCCTGCTCCTCATCACTCTGAGTCTGACTGTTATGGGGGGGGTGTCCTGCGGGGCGTTGTCTATCTTTGCTGCCTTTCTGCTCCATCTTTACAGAGTGAGTCTCAGCACATGGTCATACAGATGTCTTTATACACAGTAGCATTCATTATTAAACCGATAAACTACAACATTGACTCTGCTCCCCCGACTGTCTCCGTTTGCATGTGCAGGTGCTGAGGCTTCAGATGACAGAAAGATCCTTGAGTCACATGTTAAATCTGGTAAGATTTCCAGCACCAGATGATCACTTTGGTGCAGTTTGAGGTTGCATTGGATGTAAATGCAGAGGCAGGGTTTAGCAGCTATTCCAATTGCATGTTGTCATAGTGTTTCCCACCATCTGTCCAGGCCCCCCGGCAGCACAAGGAAGCAGAGAACGGCTCGGTGGAGGGAGACTCTCAGAGCAGGTCTACAGAATGTAATGGCGCCCCCCTGCTGTCTGAGTGCGCCCTGCAGGAGGTGCGGGATGACTTACAGCTTCACCTCTGCCTGTCGGCGCTCTTCACGCTGCCTGTCATGCTGATCGCACCCTCACTCATCCACTGGATCCGCAACCTGAGGTAATGTAAATGAGTGTGAGAGACAAAGCGCCTGCTGGTGGGGTCACCACGGCTGTGTTTATTAGAATGTCTGCTAATTGCAACTACATCATTAAGAGTGCTAATAAGTGCTATGTATCTGTTTAAGAAAAATACAAATGTCAACATAAAAAAAATGGAACGACCACACCAATTTCCAGCCACAATCACACCTGCAGCAGCGCTACATTGGGCCCAGTCTATAAGGGAAGTAGTATGTCCTATCCTATCACTTCCTGTGCCCTCACTCAGACCACACTAATCGCCAAACAACATTTTTTTTAAGTCTTTCTCCACTCCCCTACATTTACAGACATATATTGGCACATTGTTTTGCAAGCTGATCCATTACTGGATCCTTCACTTTTTTGATGAGAGCAGCTGTTGAATCTTTACCCGCTCCAGAGGTGCTGTGTGTCTAATCTGACCTGTGATCTGTCTGTGGAACAGAGCGGAAAAGAGGACTCTCCCAACAAGCGACATACTGCTTCGCTTTCATGAATGATGTCCTTGGTTTTAAGTGTATTTCAGTCATTTGCATGATATGGCTGATACCAATATCACTTCATTTAAGTGATTATTTTCACAGTAACTTTTATAGCAAGCGTATGCTCAATTGCATACAGTAATAATTGTTGTTTGACACAATGTCGTGGGTGTGTACATGGTGAATGAAAAACAAATGTGTGCTGTGATCCTCTGCAGGTATTCCCCCCAGTTGGACCCTGACCCTTGTTGGCCGCTCTCGGTGCCTCTAATTATTGTGTACATGCTGCTTATAAACTGCAACACTTTAAAACTCAGCAACAGGTAAGCACATTGTCACCAACACATTCACTAAGACTCTGAATGAACCTAAACAAAGTAGAGTCACACATTTAAGAGAGAAACATTTGGGGAAATAGCTGGGGGGTTTTCATCAAGGAGCTACACCACCACATTGTGCAAATTGATCCACCTCATCACACCACTAGACACTACCAGTAAACAGGGAATGCCTGCTGTCACCGTCAGTGAAAAAAACATATTTTCTTGGAATATCCTCATCCCACGGCTTTACGTTTTAAATTGGAGGTGTTTTACTTCCAATGGCTGTTATAGTCCACTGTATAAATGTTTTTCACGATCCATCTTTTTCTTCATCTCTTTCAGTAAACTCCTGCCTCTGACATCCTGCATCCCGCTCCCTATGTCCATCGCCATGGTGACCTTCTCTCCACTCCACCTCTACAGAGTCAGCTACTTCCTGTTGGCGGCGCTGGTCCCTCTGGCCTCGTGTGTTCTGCTCTGACGGTATCTGTCTGCTTTCAGTCCACATCTCCACCATAACAAGCCTTTCTCTGGATTACAGCCCGCCTCCCTGCTGCTGCTCCGGACCCATCTGTTCTGGAAACACGCGCTCTATCTAGCTGCCGTGGAGCAGAGCCATAGACATACATAGCTTGGGGAACTGTCCGCTCGATGTTAGCACTAAAAGCCCCATGGAAATTACTCAATGTTTTAGAATGGGAGGATGTAATGACCCTGGAGCATTTGGTGCGAATATGGCTCCAAACGAAGGATTGACCTGAAACCAAGTTTGCCTTACTCTGTATTTCTATAGCTCTGCCTTCAAGGAGCACTAACTCCACTACCAGTGAAGCTACTGATACTAGAGAATCTCAACAGGGTGTTACTGTTCAAATATGTTGTTGTGTTTGTGTGGTTTCTACGGTCTACAGTGGCATAGTTCACTGTGGGCCCTACACTGTACACTGCTTCACTGCCTACTGCTTAGCGATGACTTGTGTTCTCTTTACCTAACGACTGTCCTAGCACTGCCACCAAACCTGTGTACGCGCTCCATAGGAAAATCCAAAGTAATCATGTTTACATCCCCCCCATATCCACCTCTCTGGTGCAGAACAATGACAGCCAATGGAAGTTGTGCACTGGAGAAGGCTTTGGTGCATGTGCAGGTTCTGATGTGCCTCTCTTTGTGTAAACATGTAATTGGCACCGCTGCAGGGCTTGATCCGGAGACCTCCGTGTGAGACCGCCTGCAGTCTGTTTTAAAGTGCCACACTTGCACAAATTAGGATTAGGCCAGGAGTGAATAGGGGAATTGGGAGATAAAGATTCTAAACAGACAAATGATCAACTGGGGCTGGGACAAATGATTCATATTTATTGAGTGTTTATGTCAGAGACACACAGTTACATGGTTAAATACAGACGGTGCGTCACTGAGATTATATTTATGTAAAATCATGATATGGTCCTTGGTGTTTTGATACGATGCAGCTGAAGCTGTATGTTGTTTTTGATGAAGTTTAAAAAGCAGCTTACTTACTTCCTCTAAGCCTCGGATTTATGTTCATTGGAGGATTATGGGATGTCTGTTCAGTATTGCAGCTGATGTACAGTATGATTGGAGCTTCAAACTGCACTTGGGGGTTACTGAGAGAAGTGAGTTGTATGTCATGGTTACTGTTCATCCACTCTCCCAGTGGCAGGTGGACCGATGAAAACTAAAGACCAAGGAAACCACCACCTTTCTGTCTTACTTTTTTATTTTGTTTTAAATACCTTTTTCCGAATCGCAAAACTACCTGTCTATGTTTCTATCTTCTGTTTTGAAATGCTTTTACTTAATGTGTAAGAACACTTGGAATTCTTTTGACGATTTTTAGGAGCAATTGAGAGGCTAGAGTTATTCTTTATCTTTGTTATTGTCAACAACCCGTTTAATAGTCAACCTCAAGCCCATTGCTCCCTCCTGATGACATCATTACAGGCTTGGTTATTTCTTTCAAAAGCTGCCCACTGTAGTTTATAGTAACCATAAAGCATCCTGGTGGAAATAGTGCATTTGTTGGGGACTATTTTCAATGGTGGATGAATCCACATTTGTTAGCATGATGGTGTACTATGTGTGTGCGATGATGGTAATTCAGGACTAAGGTCAGCCATTGCAACAGTGAACTCTATGGCACAGTATCAGGCTGTTACACACACAATCCATTGAGTTGCTCTTGCTCTTCAAAAGGGATTGTTGACAGCAGGAGAAACAATGGGAAATAATCTGACTATTTCTCTTTGACTAGTTTTAGTAAGTCTTTTTAGGGAATGATGTTAAAGGATGTCACACGCTTTTGGATTTATTTTGCCACGATTGCTTCACAACCTCATTATGATCAGTGTCTTAGGCCTATCATTTGTTTCTTTATGGTATGTGGGTCACATGACGGTGATTGATCTACTACAGCTGAACTACAGTTGGATTTCACATTGTGTGTATGTAATGCCTCTGTGTTCAGGTATTGTGTGTTTCTGCTTTGTTTTAAGGGAGACACTACAGGTGAATAGGGTGGACATTTTAACATGTCCATAATAGGGACATTTTATTTTTTCAAATGTGCAAATGAGGCATTTTCTCATTCAGCACGTTCTAATTTGAATACATTTCCGGAACAGAAGTGTGACATTAGATAAAGCCAGGTTTAAAATCGATTGATTGATTTGACATGTAATAGAGTTGTGTAGGGTGTATCTTTGTGTCACTCCATAAGTCAGAAAATACTCAACCAGTACATCAAATAATCCATTTTGACCTTGACAGGAATGACACTATGACATTTGGTGTATGTAGATCAGAGCATGAGAAATAACGTATTTTTAAGAAACAGTTTTTAAGATATCGTATTGTACATTTCCAGCGCCTACATTTTGCAACACAGTACAGGCGATAGTGTAACAAATAGATGTTCACCATAACACTTCTACAGATGATCACCTACATGAATACATTTGCTTTGTTTAACTATAAACAAGGCATTATCTAAAGCAACATTTTGGGTAATTTAGGAGAAATCTACAGAAACAAATGGACAAAGTTAGTCAAAAAAAAAGTGTATTTTGTGGATGTTTTCTTGCCACTAGTCTGAAAGAAGACATGTAAAGTAGCTGAAAGTGATTTCCTGTAGTGTCTCCTGCTGCTGCTCAGCTCTCATGTTGCTGAGCAGCTGCTGTGCCTTCCTGCTGCTGAATGCAGCGCTGCGTCTGTCCCACCGTCACGCCTCAGCAGCAGTGTCTTAGTGAAATGATAAAGGTCTACAGTGAATGTGTTTACTCACTAAAACATGACTTCAATATGGCAGTATGATTTCACATTTGTGTGGCTCTATAAAAAAACTAAAGAGAACTTCATCAGGGACCGATCCCTCTTGCCCCTGCAGTAAGCACAGTCACGAGTCAGCGTTCTCCGCTGCTGTCCCCGATGAGAATGTCCCTGCACAGAATGTCTTTGCGTGTCTATGGATTGATTACTGGTGGCGTAAGTGGTCAGCTTTTCTGTGCACGTGTGTGTTTGGTGCAGTTTTAGTGCTTTGAGACGCACATGGTCGGCCTCTTTGTAAATTGGTGGTATACACTACTAGAAGAAATGAGTTGAGATTAGATGTGTTTTTATATCAATATAAATGTGATTATATCGGTGTTCACTGTGACATGATGTTTCACATTTTTTACATGAGGGTCTTGATTCTAAACTGATATACTATGACTTTGGCATTTTCTTTTTTATATTCCATCAGAAGAAAATAATCTTTCTTACTCACAAGATCCTTTTTTAACCTTATTGTCACTGACAATTAGTCAATTATTTTCACAATTAAATTCCTTTCTTTAACTTTATTTTCACTGAAAATGTGTCAATTATTCTCTTGATTTATGACAAGGAAGTCAAGAGTAAATGATTGTCCAATAAGTCTTTACAGTATGATACCTCAGGCAGGCATCTTGTTACTTTATCATCTTGTCAATAAAATCTACATTATACAACGTACAGTATGTTTAAAAAAACATTTCCTACAGACCAAGTTCAGACTGAGATTTGTCCCGGCTTTGTGTCAAATCACAGTTTAACTTACTGCAAAAGAATGACTCAGTCAAACCAAATCCCTTTTTAGAACAGAACATTTTAACGGATACAATTTCCCTTATGAAATGTATTCCAGTGTGGAATCAGTCATAAGCATGCTCTGGTGTTCTCAGCACAAACATCCTGATTTAAGACTGTAGTACAATACCACAATAAGACATACTCACGATAATGACAGCCAACGATGAATCTGTCATTTTCTTTACCAAGTAACCTAGCTGATGGTTTATCTAGTACTATGGGAGTCAAAGTAATATTGTTCTGTTACTACCGTTTCTAAGTGCTTTAAAGTCCAGTAACCCTATCATGTTTCTTTATTCAGCTTCTGCCTACAGTGACTTCAAACCTGTAACCTCCTGCCAGCTCGTCCTTGTTGTGCACAATAAAGTGTCCTCTGACCTTAATAATAACCTGGCAGATGAAGGAAGTGAAAATGTACCATATCTGAGGGAAGGTTTCTTTTTTGTGTTGAGGCTTTGGTGTGAGAGAATGTTCTTCTCAGGTTTAAGCATTATTGTGTCAAAAGTGACTGCTTTGATGTTTTTATATTTCTCACATTTTTATCTGATGTCATTGTAAACGGTCAAACTGTGCAATTTCTGGCACTATTGTTGTTGCAATAAAACAAAAAATATGTAATTGTTGTCTTGTTACCGTGGTATTAGTATTGTTGTTGTTGTTAGTAAAGAAATGTTATTGAAAGAGCCTTACATTTCGATTATATATTAAGTGGAGCTGCTTTGAATAATAAAGATGTTAAATAGTCCTGCCCTAACAATGAAGTGAGTGAGATGTCAATCAAACATTAGGCGCTCACAATGAAGTGAACCACAATTTTACATTTGAATCAGTATGGAGAAGATGGGTGTTTCTCAATGTCGAGGAAGGCTCCTCCAGAGCCACTATTTCAAGGATGCTACGTCATCGAGTCCCGCGGAAGGACTGTTCCAATGTCCAGGATCCTTGGAATTCTACCGAGGACTGAATCCTTCGTTGCGGGAAATTTCGAGGCTGCACATGTGTATCCTCCGCGGTCTTAAAATCCCCACAATGCTTTGCGCACGGACCAATTTCCAAAATCTTTGCCGGAAATCGCGCTCCATTTAAGGCAGGGCCTCGCATATGACGCACACCTGTTAGCCTATTCCACCATTCTTCGTTTTCCGAGGCTAAGAAGGATTCTTGCCTCGCTTCTGAAGGACCTGACTCGGAAGACATGTCCTACCAAGGAAGCGTCCTCGACATTGAGAAACACCCGATAGAGAGGCGAAGTCCTTCCCTTTCCGGTGGACCTCCATGGGACCTTATTTCGGAAAAATTATGTATTGAAGTCAATGGAGAGAGAAAGATTATTTCGATTCCGTTTTAATTGTGCCATGAATTACACATATGATGTTTGTCAATTTAAAAGATAATTTTGCAAGTCAAAAAAATTAAAATGTGTCGTAAAACTGTGAAGTAACACATTGAATCGTGTGAAACGCTCAATGAACTACATCTCTGGTCTCGCACACGTCACCATCACCAAGATGGCCGTCACGTTGGCACATTTCACTTCTTTCTTTCAGAATGAGGCAAAAAGTATTAAAAGAGGTGAAAATCACTCCAAGTCTGGGCATGTTGAGAGCTGTACATACACACAAGGGGAGTTAGTCGGTTCCGTAAAAGCCAGCATGCGGGACCGGCTTTACAAGGTTTCGGTGAGTAACACGAGTGTAATGTGTAACGTTAATGACATCACTTACGCGACTCTGGGATTTGTAGTCTTTCTAGTTGCGTATTTTTCATAGTCTTATTTCAACAGTTTTACGACAAACTGTGACTTTTTTGACATGGAAATTATTTTTTAAGATTGACAAACATCATTCATATGTGTAATTCATGGCACAATTCAAACGGGATCGAAAGATAATCTTTCTCTCTCTGCGTGGAGGAAGATGAGGGCCAGGCTGGACATGGAGGTCTTCACCGCTTTAGTCTATCCAGGACCGGGCCCCTCTCTTTAATCCCTCCATCAGATCTGCTCGATGTGTCCACACCACATTCAAAGGGAATGCATACGTTCCTTAAATAAAAGAATGCCAAAACAGCACAAAGTAATGTCAAAGTGAGTTTAAAGGCAGATATCTCTGCCACCATCTTCAAAATTAGTAAGACTGACCGGACCGGATCTCTTTGAAAGGAGAGACATATTTATCTGAGATAATATCGTAACATTTTGTTTCATATTTGAACTTAGTTAAACAAAGGTCACTTTCTTTATTTGCAATTGTTCCACTGGATGGCAGCCATTCCTTTGGTACCATATGGCGATCATTTGTGTCAATTCTCAGCCTATAATAAAAAAAAAAATGTAATTGTAGAAATCCAGTAAATTATAGTTTGTTTCCGCCATTGTTTGTGTTCTTTTTATTCCACATTCAAAAATAAGACATTGATCTGTCTTCCTATAATAACGACTAAAGACCATTTAGTTAAGTGTCATTTTGAATAGCCTATTCTTGGCTAGATGCTGCTGCAGACTTTTGTCCCACACATTACAAAAGAAGAATGAGAAAGGAAGTGTATTGTCAACGCTTACAGGCATATGTACCTACACACATGCTTTCAACAGTTTTAGCTTTCAACACTCAACTTAAAAATATGAGTAGCTCAAAATGTCAAAATAGGAAAAATGATTAGTGATGAATGCAGTGGATAGAGAAGGCCATTGAGAGAAATAGACCAGGCATTTTTATAGAACATACATAATACAGAATTCAAATGATTAAAAGGGAATGAAAGGGCAGATACAGATATAATAAATATACTCTTTTATTTATATTGTAAATGCTCGCCCATCTGATCCAAACTCTTTACCAGTTGGTGACAGTAATGCCCCAATACTGTGCCTATTGCCAATAAACCTCTAGAAAGAATAAAGAAGAAGAGTTGTGGTGTTCTTTGTCAAACTATTAACCACCAATGCCGGTTAAAATATATTTGACCTGACCGAGGCAATAATAATGTTAACGGACAAGTGAATGTATGAAAGGATTCTTTCATTCTATGACAGGAGGCCTGGTATGTTCTGACCCTCATGACTAACATTTGACTTCACATTAGGCCCATTCATTTGACATGCAGAAGACTCCAGAAGGGGATTTAAGTCATGCAGTCTTCAAACCAGTAGAATGTAATATTGCAAAACAGTTTGTTTTTGCTTGTGAATTAATTCATTTATGAGGTATGTTTTGTTATTTCATTAGGACTTTCAAGGGGCATGAAATAAGTGAAGGAGATTACAACTCGCTTTCTGCTGATATCACCACAAAGACAATGTTGGCAGCTGCTCACAGTACAGCTAACTTCAGCCTACATACCCTGCAACAAAAAGCTAAAACTGGCCAAAAGGGAAGGGGCATCAACACATGGGTGGAGAGCGGGAGCAGTCAGGGTGAGAACAGCTGTGGCTGTGATTATCGGAGGGTCAGTGATGGATATCTGGTCAACCCTTTAAAGTGTCCTTGGGCAGGTTACTGAGCCCCAAAATGCATCCGATGACATGACTAACCATAGCTTCATCGAACAAGGACCAGGCATAAGAATACATTCATCTCAAAAAGAGAAGATCGAGATGCCAGATTATAGCTAAAAGCAAGTACTGCCTTTCACACCAACAATTTAAACAGATCAAAATACAGATGTGTGAAATAAAATACTAGTACATTTGTCATTATAACTATAATTTTACAATTCATTTCTCAAATTACATTACAATTAATGTTTGCAGGACTGGTTGCCCAAAATCAATTCTTTTGATACAATATTGGAGATGTGAGTAATAATGGTATATGTACAGTATATTAAAGGTTCTGCTGCCTCTCTGTCCATGATGGTCACACAGGCTCGCTGCAGCGGTAAGAGGGTGCTAAGCGCCACTTTAGTTGAGGTCTATTAGCAGAGGGAAGTAAAACTACTTTTAGAGAACGTTAGTGTAAGGATAGGTGTTTATGCTTAGTTACAATGCATATATGTTACCACTAGGCGGCAGTATAACATCTATGGACATAGATGTTAGCAGAACAAGATGTGAGTTGGTACTGCATGGGTGTTTCTCAATCTCGAGTAAAGCTGCTCCAGAGCCACACTGTTCCAATGTCCAGCATACTTGGAATTCTACCGAGCCCCGCGTACTTCGTTTGGAGAAATATCGAGGCTGCACATGTGTAGACTCCGCGGTCTTAAAATCCCCACAATGCTTTGCGCACGGACCAATTTCCCCAAATCTGTGGCGGAAAATGTAAGACGGGGCCTCTCATATGACGCACACCTGCACACTTGCTCGCCTGTTCCACTCTTCGTTTTCCGAATGCCAGGAAGTATTCTTGCCTCGCTTCTGAAGCAAGATGCTCGGCAGACATGTGCTACCAAGCAAGCGTACTCGAGATTGAGAAACACCCCATGGCTGCGTCTCACTTCGACTGCATCTCCAGTCGGTTATTTTCATTTCCTCGCTCCTCGGTCTCTGTATCACCGGAAGTTGATTTGTCTGCGCCATCTTGAGTAGCGTCCCATGGCGCTTATATCTACCGGAGGAGCGAGGAGCGAGGAGCGAGGAGCGATAATGGAGGAGCTATAACCGAGGAAACACCAGACCATCCTCCAATGAAATCCTCAGATACTCGCCCCGCCCCCTTACTGTGTATCGCTCACTGATTGGACGATGCAGCGCATGCACTGATCTGTTGCTTCTTGACATGAGAGCAGTTTCCCAGCGGAGTGAAGAAAACACATGAAACTCACGGGACTCACTCCTCAGTTTATACTGTGTTTTGTTTCAATGAATGCATCATTCAGTTACAAATATGTGATATATCTGAACAACAAAGTGGTCAAAAATCATTTTATTCATTTATTTGAGACATTTTCATGATCGCTTTTTTCGTTTTACATTTTCATTTATTGTCATTTCCATTCAGTCAGTCATTAAGTGCTATTTAAAATGTTAATTTGCTACATATCCACACAAACAAACAAAGTGTGCAAAGACGCTCCGGAGGAAAGGACGTCCCATTGCTCTTAAAACTCATTTCCCTGCTTCTCGTGGTTTCCTTGCGTCTCTCCATGCTTCCCTGGTGGGAGGGACTAAACGCAGGGAAACGACGCAAGTGAGGGACGCAAGGATTTCATTTAACCGAAGTGAGATGCAGCCTGCCACAGACAGAAGCAAGCAGCAGCGGTGAGTGGCAGAGCCATACATCTGTTTCGAAGGTAAGTCAGTTGAAAGCCGAAGTTCAATTAACATCCCAATCCTCTATGCTGAAGTTGCAAAAACACCACGATTTTATGATCCAATTTTATCAGTTTCCCAGTTACACTGAAAATGCCCGAATAATGCACTTCGTTGCAGTTAGTTAATACGAGATTGATGCATAGCCAGCGAAGCCAGCGGTCGACTGAAATCTAAACAATATAAACATGTTACAAAAAAAGATACACATGTCTCACAAATTAAAATGAGTCCTATCAGTTCATGAGAGAAACTAGCTTCATAAGAAATGCTGCTGGAAGCTCCCTGCACTTCTTGTTTTAAGATGTTGAAAAGTTAATTAAACATATGCTTAAAGGCATTTCAACGAAGTTGTGTTGGAGTTTGT